CTTAGCAAATGAATCATCAGAAAGTTGACAGAAACTCAAAAACAAGTTCCTTAGAGATGTCCAAGACACGGTCGGAATCGTTACAAGAGTTCCCAAGTCGATCAAGAGTTCTTTCAAACAGGAATTGTCGTAGAAGACAAGAGGAAACTTACAATCCGGAACAGAGGAATCAGGGAACGTTAGAGAAGAACCAGGGAACGATAGAGAAAGCTTCTCGGTGTTGTGAGATATTGCAAACTCCATCAAGCTATCAACTTGGGATGTGGTGGATGTAGTGACATGGCTCATAGAGAGATGTAAACTCGTGATTTTGGGAGCCGAGTAGGAGCGAGTTAGGGTTTCGATGATCGGATCACTTTCCGAACTAGGGCACTCGATGGAGAGATAAGGTGTATCGGACCATACATGTCTCCATCGTTTGGACAAGACAGAGGTTCTGATGGCGAACTTGGTCGGAATATAGGAGAAGATTAGGTGGATGATCGCGTCGGGTAAAGTGCTGATGAAGTCTCCACCGTCGATTGAATCTTCTGTGATGATCTTTTGCTGGAGAGAATAAGAGTGGTGGTTAGGGTTACTTACGACGGCTGTGGCGCCTCCGAGATCGTCCGCCATGGCCCCTCCCTATAATTTTGATCTTTTATTTTGAGTTTTATAGTGAAGTTAGGCTTAATTTGGATACGGTGGCCAAACTAAAATAGTCAAAAGAGCCTCTCAACGTAAATACAATATTTGTTTCGGGCGAAAGTTCAGCCACTCCATTGGGTTCTCTATCATTTTGAGTAGGTCTGAACAATCGTCTCGATGCTTACAAGGCCTCAAGTCTACAAGGCATGTCTTTGCTTAAAGAGTCCATCCATCTCCACATGTAATGTACACAAATTTTGGGGATGTAAGGTAAAAAATAAAAAATTGGAGTTTTCTAGAGAAATTTTTAAAAACAACACCAAATGTTAATACTTTAAATATTTGGGGGCCTATTATTACAAAAACCGATTAAACTGGGAGCTTATTTTAAATATTAACTAAATTAGAAATTTTTGGGACCAAAGGCCCATGGCCGATCCTGAATGTAGATAAACTACGCCGATATTTTTGTGTTTCGATAAAATTTATTTTCATGCCATCCTCTGGGCACCACTCAAATCCACTAATCGGTCGTTGGCCAATCCAAAAGACATCAATATGCCATGTTGGGATGTGGTGGGCTCTGGTAGGTTTCTTTCGGTCCTCCGGGGGATCAGATTTCTGAATATTTTGGGTTAGCGATTCTCCAACTTTTCGCTTCAAGGTTCGCAAGTTGGAAGGTGTCCGGAGGGTGGACTTCTTTCAAGTTGAACATTTTGTCATTTTTTGCTTTCTATGTGTACCATATGATCCAATGAAAGTTTTCTGCTAGTGGGCTTAGTATTTCATTCTTCAGAAAAAGAAGTTCATATTTCATTATAGAGATGAACTCGGGAAGCAACCCAAAAGGGACGGAACGTCCGTAATAGCTCAAACTTGTAGAGAAGGGGACACTCGAACAACAAGTGATTGATAGTTTCTCGAGCGCCCATTATCATTGCTCAGGTAACGGAGTATTAGTCTTTCACATGTCGCCACATGAAATATTTAAATTTTTAGTTTTTGGATTGGATTTACAGTATTAGATTTAAAACTATCATACAAAGTTTAATTAAAATAAGATTTGGATCATGTTTTTTTATTGAATTTAAAATATGTAGATCATCCACCAAAATAAACATAAATCTTAATTTTCTTGGGATAATATCTACTACCATTTCGAGGCAACCTTTTCAAAAATTATCCATTCCAAACATCTACACCATGATGCTTGCATAGTTGCATATATTATAAGAACATTAAGAATCTGGATTAATCTTAAAAAGTTTGACACCTATCAAATTATAAACTTGTGAGTTTATATTCTTCTTTTTTATTCCTACTCAAGGTAATTCTTTGGCAACAACAAGAACAAACAAAAACACAGATATGTGTTTGGAAACTAGCAATTTTAAAGAAACTAACATTTTTAAAGAAACGTAATCCACAAGAAAGTTAAGAATATCTTTCTCCCTCTTCTTCATCTTCCATATCTTTATTCCCGATTTTCTGGCCAAAATTTTGGACGATTCTCAAACCTAATTTTCTGGATATGGATCTCGACGCTCCGACCATAATCGTTGCAAAGATAAGAGCTTTATAACCAAAAATGTCTTGCAAAATCATTGGTTGGTTTCTGTTGCGAGATATAGAACACAGAGAATTGATTCGATTGTTTTTACACTCGTACAAAGTCTTTGTTGTCAATTCTGGAGTTTCGGAAGGAGGATCGAGAAACAGTAATGTAGTCGCGACAGCTCGGACGTTGAATTTGAGGACGAGAAGAGATGTGTGCATGGATCCCATAAAAGAATTGACTATGAAGATTGTCGATTCTAGTTTTTCTAGTGAACATTGAAATGATTATATGAATGGTATTATTGTGTGGACGCTAGTATATGAATGTAGTGGATGTCATAATGTAGATTGTTATATGTGGATAAAATGATAGGGTCATATGTTGTGGATGATCATGTATGTTCATAATAAGAAACTCTTTGAGATTTCATGTATTAGAGTTACGACTTCGGTTTGGTGGATAAGTTAGCGTGGACATGTATGTTCATAATAAGAAACTCTTTGGAATGTATGAGTTTCAATGTTGAATCATTTGTTTGGGTTATCGATTTGATTGTTTGGTTCATGAATTTAGAGTATGTATTTAATTGTTTCGTTTGAATGTTTGAGACAGACGTCTTCATGGAGAAGGTATGTGGATCATGATTGGCGATCTGTGGATGAACACCTGAGAAGAATCGAAAGGTGTGGACGAAGACATGTCAATTTACGAGAAAGAGTGTTGCGTGGATAATTTATCGTTGACAACACATGTTATCAAATTCATGGTTTTGTGATGTTATTTCTTTTGTTTGGTATGTTTTAGATTGTTTTATAAGTTTTTGTGTGTTTGTGTTTTTATTCGAATTACGTTCAACAAAGTCATGTTAATAGTAGAGTTGTTAAACGTGTTGGTAATGTAAACCGAGAATTTGATATTTGAAGGATAATTTTTTATGAAATGTTGGAAAAATGATTTTGTGGATAACTTTTACGTGAACGAACACAAGAACCACACACGAACTCAAAAATCTGTAAAAGCACGTATTTAAATTTTGTTCAATCTCAGCCATTCGTTTTAAACCTTCATCTAATGGTCACGATTGAAAGTAAAAAATAGATGTGGAGAAAAGGAAAGAGAAAACTTCATCAAGGGGTATTTTAGTCTTATTCTTTAGAAAAAAAGGAAGAAAAGGTAGAAAGTATGCCTAAAACAAAAGTGTCTTATAGTGTAAACTTTTATCAATAAAGTGTGCTAGAGTGTAAATAATCCGATTTGAATTTGATGTTTTTATTGTAATTGGATTCAATAAACATAAACAAAAGATGTAATCGAAAGCCTAAGTAACAAAAAAATCTTGACATTACTAAATCTTAAAAGTATTCATTCACATTAAATGTCCGAAAGTCTGACACAAAGAAAGGTAAACGTATTTATTCACATTAACTGCCCGAAAGTCTGACAATAAAGTGTGATGTTATTTCTTTTGTTTATTATGTTTTAGATTGTTTTATAAGTTTTTGTGAGTTTGTGTTTTTATTCGAATTTCGTTCAACAAAGTCATGTTAATAGTAGAGTTGTTAAACATGTTGGTAATGTAAACCAAAAATTTGTTATTTGAAGGATAGTTTTTTTTATGAAATGTTGGAAAAACGATTTCGTGGATAACTGTTCGTGGACGAACACAATCTGATACACAAGAACCACACACGAACTCAAAAATCTGTAAAAGCATGTATTTAAATTTCGTTCAATCTCAGCTATTCGTCGGTCACGATTGAAAGTAAAAAATAGATATGGAGAAAAGGAAGAAGAAAACTTCATTAATGTTATTTTAGTCTTATTTTTTAGAAAAAGAAAGAAAAAAGTAGAAAGTGTACCTAAAAACAAAAGTGTCTTATAGTGTAAACTTTTATCAATAAAGTGTGATAGAGTGTAAATAATTGGATTCAATAAACATAAACAAAAAGATGTAATCGAAAGTCTAAGTAACAAAAAAATCTTGATATTACTAAATCTTAAAAATATTCATTCACATTAAATGTCCGAAAGTCTGACAAAAAGAAAGGTAAAAGTATTCATTCACATTAAATGCCTGAAAGTCTGGCAATAAAGTGTGATGTTATTTCTTTTGTTTGTTATGTTTTAGATTGTTTTATAAGTTTTTGTGTGTGTGTGTTTTTATACGAATTCCGTTTAACAAAGTCATGTTAATAGTAAAGTTGTTAAACGTGTTGGTAATGTAAACCGAGAATTTGTTATTTGAAGGATAGTTTTTTTATGAAATGTTGGAAAAACGATTTCGTGGATAACTGTTTGTAGACGAACACAAGTCTGATACACAAGAACCACACATGAACTCAATAAAGTGTCTTATAGTGTAAACTTTTATCAATAAAGTGTGCTAGAGTGTAAATAAGATCATTGAACATCTTCTGCCTAAAGACTAGAAAGCAGAAACTAGCAATTTTAAAGAAACGTGAAACGCAAGTTACTATCCGAATGAAAATAAATCGCTTGCCTTTGTTCATCTTAATAAAAAAACAGAGCAATTTCCCTGTGGAAAGATTCAAACAAGATTAAACAGCCCAATTCAAGTTTTTGCGAACCACTGAATGAACAAACGAAGTGATGTATATAGTATACTGTGCTTTAATCAAAAACTATTGGAACCTCATTGATGTATACAGTATATCTGTGCTCTAATCAAAAACTATTTTGTAACCTCATTAATGTTCACAGTATAAAGTTGTTGCCCTTGGAAGCCTACCATAAGTATATACACAGATTCATAAGGATTCTCTGACCTGTTTCGACAAGCATCCGAACATTGCTTTTAATCCGAAACAGATAGACATTGCTGCATTCTATAGCCACGAGGTACAATCCCGAGAAGTCGAGACGGTTCTGAAGTCCCATGAATCCCTTTTTCACTCCTAACCAAACCAATCATTCTACACCAAATCTCCTTAGTTTCACTACTAACATCACAAGATTCTTCCCACAAAAACGCCAACTTTCCGTAGTATTCCGCCATTCCAACAGATCCAACACTCTTGAGAACATCCAAACCATAAACCACTCTCCATAACATGAGCTCAAAATCATACCACATCAACCCGAATCTCGCGTAATAAACGTATAACATATTGTCCATCACACACACACCAGTTCTCCACCATTTATCCTTAATCAACTCAAAACTCCCACAAGAACCATCTCTAGTATCATAGTGAAGAGCTATATCACCATAAGAGGTTAAAGCATAAACCTTCTTGTCTAATGACACATTAGCAGACGAAATCCACTCTTCTTCCTCCTCAGGATTCGGTGCTAGTTCCCAAGTTTGTGTCTTTAAGTCGAACGTTTCCGCTTGAACTTTATAGTCTCTATCGCCTCCGATCACATATACCTTATCGCCGACTAATCCCACGCTTTTGTAAGATCGATCCACTTGCATATTAGGTCCTCGACGAAACCTTTGAGATCGAGTATCAAAGATCCATAATCTTGAAGAAGGAATGTAAGATCCGCAGATAAAGAAAATCTCTGGACCAATTGCGATAATCGAAGGGTTTGGTTCGGAACGGTAATCGAATGGGATAGAGACGGAGACGAATTGGTTCTGGGTCGGATTGTTTTCGATTCTGCGGAGAGTGAACCAATTTCGGGTCGGGTCGTTTTTGGTTTCGTCGGTGAAGGAGATGCAGAGAGAATCTGTGTCGAGGAGAGACCGGATCTTGTGAATCTCCGGCGAAAGAAGAGTAGAACGGAAGTTTTTGGAGACGCAAGAGAGGATTGGGTATGAGCGTCGAGAGACTCGGGCGGTGATTGTCCAGATGAGTTCGATCGGCAGTGAGTTGAGCAGTGACGGCGACGTTGCTCGGTTGAGTTTTCGCGGTGGCTCGTCGGCGATTGAAGAAGACATGTCGATGTTTAGCGACGAATAAGAAGACCAAAACAGTCAAATTTATACGATTTTAAACCATATATATATATTTGTTCGGGTTTAAACCAAAAACTCGAAAACTGAATAATTCTGAATTGAACCGAACTGATATAGATATATGATTGGTAGTTATTTTTCATACCGACTAATCCGAAATCCAAACA